CCGGGGGCCCCATGAATTGTCAGTCCGCCCCTGCTCCACCAGGACCATTGTCTTAGAATACACTAATCAGTGACTGCAGCTGCTGATGGAAGAAAATTTTCCAAAATGTCCCTTTGAAAGAAGTCGATTAAACAGTAAACTTCAGTCGAGTTGTGATGGCTACGCACTGATTGAAATTCATTTGGTCCCTGCTGAACAGGCCAAATTTTTATCAGTGTATGGCCATCCTAAACCCTTGTGTATAAACGGCGTTTGCCCAACTTACCTAGATGCCTTTCTTCCCGGCAGCTTCGTTTTTGCAACAAAAAAATGTGATGCTTGTAAACGCATCTAGACGCGTCATGTGCTTGGGTGTTAATTCATTTAATTGGCCAGAATAATAACTGATTCTAGCTATTGACATGAATTAACGTTCAAGTGCTCACCTAGAGTTTACAAGAGTCAAGTGTTTTGTCTGCCAAAAGGCTCCTACTCGTGGACGCGTTGGCAATGGTTTTTTTTCCTGCCTCCAAACACCTCTAAATGCCTATGTGTGCAGGGGCATTTAGAGGCAGAACAAAAAAAATGCCAGACACCTCTAACAGAAAAGAGCATTTGACCATCTTTCCTAGATGCCTTTCCTCCTGGCAGCTGCGCTTTGGCAGGAAAAAACGTTTGACACTTGTAAATGCGTTTAGACGCATTTAGGTGTGTCAGGCGCTTGGGTGCTAATTCTTTTTTATAGGCAAGAATAATAATTTATTCTAGCTATTGAGATGAATTAACATTCAAGTGCTCGCCTAGACTTTACAAGAGTCAAGTGTTTTGTCTGCCAAAAGGCTGCTACTCCTGGATGCATTGGCAGTGTTTTTTTTCCTGCCTCCAAACACCTCTAAATGCCTATGTGTTCAGGGGCATTTAGACACAGAACAAAAATAAATGCCAGACACCTCTAACAGCAGCGATAATAATGTCCATTATGTATGAGGCCTTAGAATCAGTTGGATGCTTGCTGTTATCTCTGTTTTGTAATCTCTTGTTTAGGGTATAGTGGGGTTGATGTACTAAAGACAAAATAAACTGTGCACTTTGCAAGAGCAGTTGCACTCTGCAAGGGAATTTGCTCCAGAGCTTAGTAAATGAGGGGAAACTCTACTGATTTCCATCGTCAAATCATGCGAAATCAAAAATGCAGTTTTGTTAAACTTTTCTTTGGATGTAATTTGGCATTCTTTGCAAAGTGAAGCTTCACTTCATTTACTAAGCTCTGGAGCAAATTCCCTTGCAGAGTGCAATTGCACATGCAAAGTGCACGGTCTATTTTCCTTTAGTAAATCAACCCTGATGACTAACAGATCAGGTTTTCTTGTCACTGTTGTTCAGCATATCAGGGTAATGACCTTTAATTATTTTAAGATTTTTAGGGTATATGGTAAGGTGATTGTAGCCATATTAGTCCACTTCCAACAAGCACAGGTGAGCACTGTCTGTGATACATTTTTGTGATACATTATTTTGTGCACAAATAGTTACTTTTTCAGGATAGGCTTCTTCTAAGGTCAAAGCAGTACTAAAACAAAAAGGTTTAGCAAAATGTTATATCTTGTTAAACATTTTGGAGAATAATATGTAGAATAATAAAAAAAAAAATCTGCAGAAGACACTTTAAAACACAACTGTATTGAAAACTTTTTGTTTGATTTGATGTTCTTTTTTAAGTTTTTGACAGCACAGGAAAGGATTATAATCTCTTTTAGACATTTTAGGCATTTTGTCTTGTGTCCACATTGAAGATATTCTGTCAATTTTTATCCTGGGTACCACACAGGAAGTGTGTTCCTAACAGGAACACAGACAGAAATAAAAGCCCAACAAAGGTACTAACACGTTCACACTCTGTCTGTGCCCCTATATGAGAAATTCATCACACTTCCTGTCAAGGTAACCACGCAGGAAGTGAGGGGAATCTTCTCCACTGGGGTCACACATTGCAATATTACCAGACAGAGAGGAACAGGAAGAGGTTATAACCAGGGCCGTTGATAGACTATTTTGCACCCTAAGCAAGACCAGTTACTTGTAACCCCCCCCCCCCCCAAAAAAAGTCTAAATTCTCAAAAACAGTAGAAAATATTAAAAAAACAACAAAACAGGAAACTGCTAAATTTCTTTTAATTTGCAAAAATAAGTGCCATAAGATGCCACCAGTACCAATATTAAAGAGAAAAGAATATATTAACCAAATATAAATTATCTGTATTAACCAATCAGACAGAGAAACAAACAAACAAAAAAAAAAAGACAGAGTTACAAATGTCTCATAAAAGTTTCTGTTTCAGACACATCAACATTTCGTGCCTTTTCCTTTGCAAATATTTTTACCAATTCCCTCCCAGGCTCTGTTAATCAGTATCACGGATGGGTTGTATCTGTGGCTGGCAGTGGCAGGGTGACAGTTGCAGCGAGTGGAGGATGATAGATCCACACTCTGAGAGATCCCAGGCTGGAATTCAACAGGCAATGGGGGGAGATAAAGTGTTGTGACAGCAGGCAGCCCAGCCCACACACGCAGAGGACACCCGAACTGAGCGATCCCACACAGTGACAAATCTGACACAACACACCACCAAAAACAATGACACAGTTCAGCAGGCCCAGTGGGCACTAGAAGAGCAGGCTGTGTGGGATCGCGAATCTGATGATGTCATCATACACTGACATTGCACATGTGATGGTCAACCGGGTCAGACTTACACAGACACGAGACATCACATCAGAGGCAGACTCAGACATTACCTTCCTCCGCAGCAGGCACAGCTCTGCTGATAAATGGGAAGAGAAGGGCTGGAACTCCACAGTGATCAGCAGCCACCAGCCGGCTTGCATTAAAGTTCTGAGTCCCGAGAGAGGAACACTGGAAGGAGTGGCAACTCAGTTGCTACACTGGCCACAGACATCTGGCATCTTCCTCTCTCCTTTCTTCTTCCCCCTCTGCCACCCCTTCCCTCAGCTGAAGGATCATTCATGGCTCAGCAGCATCCCACACAGAAAGAGTGCTGGCCTATGCTGTGCCCAGGCTCCCCTAGACAGCAGTGCGCCCTAGGCGGCTGCCTAGTTTGCCTAGTGGAAGCACCAGCCCTGGTTATAACCGTTACAAACCCTATCCTAAACTACAACAACTGTTTATCTAGACTTCTGCTGTAATGTTTCACAATGCATTCAATATTAAATGAACTGAAAAATCGGGTATGCTTAGGCTTTTTTCAAGACAGAACAAAAAGCAATAAGGAGCATCCCACTTCCTAAAAGTACAATGCTGTGAGAGGTATTTATATTAAAATCTAATTGTTTTTTTATTTGCATACACATTGCTCATTGTCTAAGGTTACATCCACATTCATGGGATTCATTTTAGTTGTGTTTTCTAGATATTTTATAAGCATTGATATTTTTAGGACATTGCACATACCACAGACATTTGAATATAGCCAAATTAAACCAAGTCTACTTGATTTTGCAATTGCAAGAAATCAATGAGAACACAAACAACATATTTTCAGATAGAATCAAGCTACTAGATAATTAATGGGAATGTCTGACCACTGCGTTCTAAACATACTCTAACTCTAGTTGCTGGAAATCAGCTTATTAGATACTCAACCTGCTCAGAAGTCAACACTTTCTAACTTCTTGGGTAAATGTTTTGGCCTCTCCGTAGTCCTGGCATGACTCGATGCTCCTACAATGTGACTGTGCCCATATCCAGGTAAGGGGTCAGCTAGATCTTTCAGTAGAGCTGGTGGCCTGTAAAAGGGAAGCAGCAGAAAGGAGATATAGCTCATCAGAGAGCTTATAGTAATACCAACGTGGGGAGGGAAGAACATCTGCTAAGAAAGAGAGGAGGAGGGAACACACTAGGAGAAAATGAACAGAGAGAAAAAGTGAATAGTAGAGTAAGTGAATGGCTCAGGATATGTAATAACGTGGTGAAAAGTGAAAAAAATAATACTTTCAGGACATTAATGAGTGTAATTTAAAGGAGAAGAATCCTGAAAATGTAATACAGTAGCTTGGTGAGGGACCCATTTTGGCCTGTGATTAATATATAGAATGTACAGTGACACAAGCTTTCCTTTATAATTTCTAGAAGTTGACTTTTGTAGGCAATGCAATCTGATCCACCAATGGACATACCAATGATGTGCAAATCCACCAGAAACTAGACAGAGCTATTTGTAAAAGGAGTGGGACACCAAGGTTGGCAGGGGAAGCTCCATAAATTATGGTTTGCAGCTGGAGATCCCAAGAGATGGTAGGAGCCAGCAACTGTTGCTTTCTCATATACTATATTGCCAAAAGTATTGGGATGCCTGCCTTTGCACACACATGAACTTTAATGGCATCCCAGTTTTAGTCCGTTGGGTTCAATATTGAGTTGGCCAACCCTTTGCAGCTAAAATACCTTCAACTCTTCTGGAAAGGCTGTCCACAAGGTTTAAGAGTGAGTCTATGGGAATGTTTGACCATTCTTTCAGAAGCGCATTTGTGAAGTCAGACACTGATGTCGGATGAGAAGGCCTGGCTCACAGTCTCCGCTCTAATTCATCCCAAAGGTGTTCTGTTGGGTTGAGGTCAGGACTCCGTGCAGGCCAGTAAAGTTACTCCACCCCAAACTTGCTCATCCATGTATTTATGAACCTTGCTTTGTGCACTGATACACAGTCATGTTGGAACAGGTAGGGGCCATCCCCAAACTGTTCCCACAAAGTTGCGAGCATCGTCCAAAATGTCTTGGTAGGCTGACACTTTAAGAGTTCCCTTCACTGGAACTAAGGGACCAAGCCCAACCCCTGAAAAACAACCCCCCCCACCATAATCCCCCCTCTACCAAACTTTACACTTGGCACAATGCAGTCAGGCAAGTACCGTTCTCCTGGCAACCGCCTAACCCAGACATGTCCACTGGATTGCCAGACAGAGAAGCGTGCTTCGTCATGCCAGAGAACACATCTCCACTGCGATAGAGTCCAGTGGTGGCGTGCTTTGCATCTGACACTTTGCATTGCACTTGGTGATGTAAAGCTTGGATGCAGCTGCTTGTCTATGGAAGCCCATTCCATGAAGCTCTCCACACACTGTTGTTGTGCTAATCTGAAGGCCACATAAAGTTTGGGGGACCTTAGCTATTGACTCTGCAGACAGTTGGCGACTTTGCTTACTGTGCGCTTACAGCATGCGCTGACCCCGCTCTGTCATTTTATGTTGCCTACCACTTTGTGGCTGAGTTGCTGTTGTTCCCAGTTGCTTCCACTTTGTTATAATACCACTAACAGTTGAGCGTGGAATATTTAGTAGCAATGAAATTTCACAGATGGACTTATTGCACAGGTGGCAACCTATCACTACCATGCTTGAATTCACTGAGTTCCTGAGAGCGACTCATCCTTTCACAAATGTTCGTAGAAGCAGTCTGCATGCCTAGGTACTTGATTTTATACACCTGTGGCCATGGAGGTGATTCGAACACCTGAATCCAATACTTTTGACAATATTGTATATTTGCAAATGTGTGCAACAAAACCCTCTGTTTTTAATGTGAATTGTTAGACAGGGTAGGGTCAATTTGGTTTATTTGCAGGCTAGCTAGTAAGTGAGCTTGGAAAGTTTTGTTTGTTTGTGATGTGCGTTGCCCTTCCATATGCACCTTACTGCAAAGGTTAGTTTTAAATTGGGGTGGTTGCCATCTTTTTGTATAGCTTGTTTGCTGATTTGGTTTGGGGATACATTGGATGCCTCTTGCTGCCATTGTGCTGGGCGTCCAATGTGTCCCTGTGCCTTTAAGGAGGAATGGGTTCCCTCCGGGCAAACCTGCCCTTAATTTATCCCCTACTATATGCTCCAAATTGGAGACTCTAAAAAATATAGAGTTAGGAGCACAGTATTCAGAGGAGCCTTGGGCACTGAGGCTTCCACATATAATTGCAATTGTGTGCAACTAAGCCCTTTGTTTTTAACGTGAATTGTTAGACAGGGTCAATTTGATTTGTTTGTAGGCTGGCTGGTAAATGTGCTAGGAAATTATTGTTGGTTCCATGTATGCCTTACTTCAAAGGCTAGTTATAAATTGGGGTGGTCACCATCTTTTTATATAGCTTTGTTCACTGGTGAGGTGGGGGGGCATATACCTCTAATAACCATTGAAAATATTTGCACTCCCTTAAGAAAATTCTGAATTCCATGGTTTGATTGTGGAAATGTATTTGAAACAATGCAATGATTTAAAGCTACTTTCATGAAGCCACTCCTAAGAACATTAAAATAGGTATATACAGTACAGTATACAGTGTAAGGGATGTTTTTGACTGATTTTAAAGGAGTTATTAAACACTTCCAGTTTGTAGATTTTTACCTAAAGGCTGCTTTTTTTAAAACACATAAAAAATCTCTCTGAAGTGTAAAATAGTAAATCACATCTAACAGACATTTAGGTTCATTAACCACTTGCCCTCCAGGGGATTTATCCTCCTTCTTGATCAGGCCATTTTTATGGCGCTGTGTTACTTTAACTGACAATTGCGCGGTCATGCAACGCTGCACCCAAATGAAATATGTGTCCTTTTTTTCCCCACAAATGGAGCTTTCTTTTGGTAATATTTGATCTCTTGTGCGGTTTTATTTTTTGCACTATAAACAAAAAAAGAATGACAATTTTGAGAAAAAAAACAATATTTTTGACTTTTTGGTATTAAAAATGTCTAGTAAAAAAATTAAAAAAATCTAATTTCATTATAAATTTAGGCCAAAGTGTATTCTGCTACATTTCTTTGCTAAAAAAAATCCCAATACGTGTAAATTTATTGGTTTACATGACAGTTACAGCATCTACAAATGGCGTTATATATTCTGGAATTAGTTTTTTTTTAATACTAGTAATGGCGGCGATCAGTGACTTATAGTGGGACTGTGGGAATGTGGTGGGCATTCTGACACTGGGGGAGAACTGACTAACTGTCACTGACATCCTCAGTGACACTAATACAGTGATCAGTGCTAATAAAAAGCACTGACACTGTACTAATGGTACTGGGCAGGAAGGGGTTAAAATCTGGGGTGATCAAATGGTTAACTGTGTGCTGTGTGTGTTTTACTGTGTGTTGTGCTTTACTATGTAAGCATGCTGCTTTGTATGGCTCTGTTATGCAGAGCCATACAAAGCAGTGTGCTCGAGCTGACAGGATAGAGATCTGTATTGTTTACATACAGACTCTCTCCCAACAGTGATACTCGATGATTGTCATGTGCCGGCGGGGAATCACTGGTGATTGACAGCTGAAGTTGCCTATGGTGCCCCCTACCTAGAAAAACAAAATCATGTATATATACGTGATTTTGCGCAGCCCTGCCGCCCTGTAACAGTAGTTCTGCTATAGGGCGGTCGGGAAGCTGTTAAAATACACATGCTAAAAACATGCTTCAAGTTATGCACACATGTATTATTATTATTATAATACAGGATTTATACAGCATCAACAGTTTGCGCAGCTCTTTACAAAATAGGGAGACGGTATGGTTTACAAAACAATGCAACATAAGTGGGTTAGGAGGGTCCTGCTTGTGAGACCTTATTATGTAAAGGGGAGGGCAAGTGATACAAAAAGTGGTAACTGTGGGATGAGCTGATGGAGAATGTAAAATTTCAATTTATTATGTGGAGGTGTGATAGCTTTTCCTGAAGAGATGTGTTTTCAGGAACTGCTTGGCAGATGGAGTCGGAGATAGCCGTCCAGATTGGCATAGGGATGGGAGAGACTCTAGAGAAGTCCTGGAAGTGAACACGGGGTGAGGTGATGAGGGAGCTAAAGAGCAGGAGGCCTTGAGAGAAGCAAGGAGAACAGTTTAGTTGATATATTGAGATGAGCATGGTGATGTAGCTGCAGGAAGAGTTGCTATTGGCTTTGTATGTTCTTGTTAGCATTTTGAATTTTATTAATTTGCGAAAACGGAAGCCAGTGAAGGGATTGGCAGATTGGCATGACAGATTGAAAGCGGGATAGTCTCTGTAGACCAGCAAAGAGGGAGTTGCAGTAGTTGAGATAACAAGGGAGTGAATTAGTATATTGGTGGTGTCCATGGTTAGGAAAGGGGAATATTTTGGAAATGTTACAAAGGTGAAGGACATATTGGATGTGGGGCCAAAAGGACAGAGTACATATAACACACCCTGGTGTGAAGGGAGGGACTGATAGTTCGTTGCAAGTAGAAAAATATTGTAATAAAATGTTTCTCATTTAAATACAGAAGAGTAAGTGACTGGAGAAAAAAAGTGTTCCATAGAGCCTGCCACATTTTTATTTTCTTTGTTTTGCCTAAGCATACAACTATGTTTTTCCCAAGCATGCTTGAACACAATGTTGACTTACTCAATACCTCTGCTGGAACTTTATTACGAATATCAACTACCCTTTCAATAAAGCCATACTTTTTAAGATTAGTTTTGAACTTTCATCCTGCTAGTTTGGGATCATGTCCCCATGTTCTTCATCTTGGCTCCATTTTGAAAATACTGCCCTCCTAAACCTTATTCACCCCCTTCATGTATCTAAAGGATTTCAGTCATGTCTCCCTGATAGGTTGAAGATTTGACCTAAAAAAAATAAAAACACAAATATCCTGGATGAATGGTTTTGGAGATATTTGGAAGGGGAATTGTTATTCTACATGAATACAGAGGAAGCATGCAAGCAATGTCAAAAATGAGATAAGACACATCCAAGACTGACATTTAAAGTGGATTGGAAATGGGGAAAAATCTGTTCATGGGAAACTTTTCCATTATAAGATCAGCTTTGATGACTAGTACAGGAAACACTACTAGATGTTTAAGAGATAGTATACGCTAACATAAAAGGGCAGAACACTGACTTAGAGCCACTGCTCAGACACAGTGGATATGGGACACCAGGCCTGTCTCACAATGCAATGCTATGAATTGGGTTAGCGAATCTATTGCACTGCAGTATAAGGAATATGAGCACACTTTGATTAAATCCATCTGGATCTGTGGGGTCATTTAAAATAGTCCCTGGGGAGGTTGTTTGAACTCAGACTAGATGAAGAATGTGAGGGGGTGTAATGTTTGCAAGTGATCCTAGTTCATTCTTTTATCTGTGTCAGATTCACATGGGGAATTTTTCATTTGTAAAAATAGATCAGATTACATTGCAAGGAAGATGCCACAGCTCAGAAGGAGAGACCAAAGACAGTCTTCAACTCAGAAAGCTATAGACAAATATTGGGTAAACAAAGTGCCACAATACTGAAATGTGTAAAATGTGGAATTATTATGTAGTGATCTTGCTACTAGAACACAAATATGGAAACATTTTATAGTAGTACACTTTCTGGACACTAGGGGTCACCTCACACAGCAGAATAATGGATGATTTTTACATTATGTTTTTTTTTTTTTTTTTTAACTGGATCAATGAAAAAAGGTCTGCTCCCCATAGCAACTTGACTTGCTATCTCGCTAGTAAAATAGAACTTGACACCAATTTTAGCTGTAAGACAGAAATATTAACCACTTGAGCTTCAGAAGGTTTTACCCCTTTCATGGCCAGAGCATTTTTTTGCTATTCAGCACTGCACTACATTAACTGGCAATTGCGCGGTCACGCAAGACTGTACATAAATATAACTTTTATAATTTCTTTCATACAAATAGAGCTTTCTTTTTCTGGTACTTGATCACCACTGAGTTTTTTATTTTTTTGCGATATAAATGAAAAAACACAAGAATCTGTCCTTTCAGAGCCAAATCCAATCACTGTTCAAATCTTGTAGACTTTACCTCCACACCATCTCCAAGATACGACCGTTCTTAACCACTGGAACTACTAAGCAACTTATTCACTCCCTTGTTATCTCTCGCCTTGACTATTGTAACTCCCTCCTCATTGGCCTACCTCATCGCAGGCTATCCCCTCTTCAGTCTATCATGAATGCTGCTGCCAGACTCATCCACCTTACTAACCATTCCATATCTGCCATCCCTCTCTGCCAATCCCTCCACTGGATTCCCATTGCCCAACGAATAAAATTTAAAACATTAACAATCACATATAAAACCATTTATAAGTCTGCCCCAAATTACATCACCGATCTTGTCTCCAAATATCACCCAAACTGTCCTGTTTTATACAGCCATCTGGGTGTATAGAATAAATAGAAGGCTTTTTATTTCTGCAAAAAAGTACATTATTGCTATATTGGTACATAGGGAAGGTAAAATTTTAGAAAAAAAGTGGACAAAGGTGAACTTAGTTTTTAAATCTGTCTCTGTGTTCTTTGGTGATAGAGAACATCTCAGGGTGAGCTCAAACCACATGATAATAAAAGCAATGTTCCAACTTTAGGAGAATTTAGAAGTGATCTAATGGATTTTCATCCATGCAAATCACTTCTACAGCCAGCTGG